ATAGGTTTTGTTATCACCTCATATTTGTGTGTATGTTAACATTTTTTTCATAGTTTGACTATATTATTCTCTTATTCCTATTTTGTATCTAAGTTCTATTCAAAATAAAATAAGACCAGTAAGAATGAAGTTTAAAATTGTTTTGTAAGCAGCAATATAAAACTGATGGAAATACTGACTACAAAAACCGTACCTCTTTGGAAAAACTCTGTTAAGACAAATATGTCTTGATACTTAAAACCAGCAATTCTTTAAAGTATGATTCTGAAAGTTATAGGCTTATTATAAAGACAAAAGCCTTGAAAAAGTTAACTTCCTCAAATTCTTCTTATTGTAATCTTGGACCTTAAGACATAAACCAAAGATGTAGCACCTGCTTCAAGCACTTTGCAAGCTACTTCATCTCTCTACTTTAGCTACTTACAAAACATATCCACCAAAGCTGTAAAGTAATTATACCACTGAAACAAGAAAGAAATAGAATAGTGATTACTTTGCTGCACCTCAGCAAGCGAAACTTACTCAACAGCTTAACCATACAAGAACCATCAGTTCTACCTGAACCACTGCCTACCTTTAACTTCCAATCTTCTTTTAAACACTTGAGATATTTCAGTCCACAAGATGTAAGCTTTGCCTTGGTAAGTTATTTCAGAAGATTAGCAGTGAAACTTAGGAGGCTTTCAACTCCATTGACCAAAACGTGATAGTAACAAATAATGGCTAAAAAAACATTGTCTCATGTATTGTCATATGAAATTATTTGGGAAATTTCGCAGTGCAGTCCAAGATACGATTACAGCTTCTGTAGATGTATGTGACAGCTAACTACCTACCTAAGATACTGACAGAATTATAATCACTGTATATTGGAGTAAAGAAACTGTGTGCCTGTTAAAGTAGCCCATCTCTGAGAAACTCTCTGCTGTCCAGCTTAGCAAGGTGATGAGAAATAACTATTCCAAACTCAGTGATCATGCACAAAGACAACACAGGCTGAATAGGAATAAAATTACATTCCTTTCTCAGCTTAATTACTTATTCCTAGCAATTAGTCCAGGGCAGTGAATAGACAGATACTATTTTGACAAAGGTTTTAGTAACATTATTCCAATATCTTTACAGGTACTAAATTCTCAAATGAATACTCCAGTAATGCACTTGTACAGCAAGCAGGTTACATTCACACAGAAGAGTCAAATTCTTTTTGAGAGCTGTAATAAATATTAGGTCCAAGTAAAACTGATAAAATTTTCAATTTCATCCCTCTACAGTTAGCCCTAGTTTGAAATTCTCCCAAATACTCAACCACCATTGGGATTTTGGATGGAGATGCCGAGATTTTGCTAATTCTTTTGAATAACAGGCAAGTGAGGTGTAGCTGCTTCCTAAAAATTCCAGAAAGGAATAAGACAAGATTTTCTTCAAAATAAAAGATAAAGATAACTCTTGCAGCTCATCTTAGATTAACAACACATGAGCCCTTGCACACTTCAATTCTGATACAGGAACACAGAATAAGAACTAAGCACAGCAGTGCTTAATACCCTCTTTGAAACTCCTCCATCCCTTTGTTTTGAGGTAATGATAGTGGGAAGTATTTCTACGCAAATCAGCAAAGTTATGATCAACAACTGGAAAATGTCATACTACATCCTTATTGAGGTACTTTCCAGATAGTCCTATTATTCGCAAGTTAAGGATCTTGTTAGTTGCTCAAATAATGATTACCATTTATATTGAACAGTTCTGGGACAAGATGCAATGCTATAAGCATTTATTATTATTGACCTCACTGAAGCCCTTCAAAAAAGACCTTCCTCAAAATCCCAGATGACTGAATTACTGTTAATTAGACAGTCAGGTTGAAGTTTATCAGATTGAAGTCAAATGAAGCCTTTGTGAAAAGTCACACAAAGATACAGTCTCCAGTGTATTGTGGAGACACAATTATTAGTAAATAATTTTGTTGAATTCTTTGTAATTGTTCTGTTGAAGACCTAGAATACCTCACACTGTCCTACAGACTCATAGAATCTATCGTCACTTTATCACCACTAAAAGGCAGCCAATCACTCACTGAAGAAAGAACTGAATACACAAAAAAAATCAACTGCTGAAGAGATTTCATGCTTACAATCACTTTCAAGTTAAGCACTATAAGCTTGGTTTCAAGCTCTGTATGTTACTTTCTGCTTATAAGTATTAAATATCAGCTGAAAGTTTAGTTCTGTGGATTGCTCAAAAATTAACTCTTACTAACTCTTAATCCTCCAATTAGGAAAAAAAAATATAAGACTAAGTTTTGATGAACAGTAAAAGTCAAACCAAATGTGAGGGCAAAGACTGAAGACAAATGGCCATCCTGATGAAATTATGAATATAACTTCACACTTTAGAATAACCCAAGACTATCATTGCACATAAAACTCACCAGCAATGACAATAGTTTTGAGAGTTCATACTCACCTGCATCTATAAACTGCTGTAAAAATAAAGTTAACATTCAAGTGTAATAAGAGCTCTGTTATATAATAGTGAATGAATGAACCACTTACTCCCTTAAAACTTACAAATAAAACAATTTTGTACAGATGGCTTTTTTTTTTTTTTATGTAGGAGCAAATAGGATTGGTAAAATACAAAAATACTGAAGGTAATTCAACTGCTGGAAAGCATATCTGATTTGTCGTGTCACACAATTTTATAAAAGCTATTCAGTTGGAAGGCAATAAATGAGCATTCAAGTGATTTACACACTTTTGGATCATAATTTTTTACACAATGTTTTATTTTTAAAAATATATATATGCTGTATACTATTATGTTTATTCTCTGTGGTATAATAAAATCATAAATCTATCTGATGAAAAATGGATTGTATTCCAATTGTATCACTGTAGCGCATAGAGCTGCTCTTATCATACCACTTACAAAGATCAATGGTAACTTGAAAATGATTTCATTCCATGCTACCTCTAATATATTAGCAATAAAAGGACTCTTTTTAATTTAAAAGTCACATCAGCCGCTGTCCATCTTCTTTTAAACTCCTCTCCATTTCTGAAACTGACATATTACCGGAGCAAAACATCACCTGGTAACTACAGGGCTACTTTCTAATTTTCCTTGTGAAAATTAGTCTAAAAACTAGCTTAAGTGTCAATTCAGCAGAAATATAAAGCTTTTCCTGACATGTGTTGCTGTGTACCACACCCTAATCCAATCTCCTGCTCTCCTTGGATAAAGTTCCATTTGGATCTTACAAAACTTACAGTGAAAGGCTCTTCTAATTTGTAGGACTATGTACCTAAAACAGGGACAATCAGCCTTCTTAAAAATGTACGAATAGTTCCACTGTGATGATGTTAACATAAACCATAACATAAAATGTTAACTGACAAAAAGTACCACTAAAAGGAATGAACAGCTGGCCTGCTCTCTCACAGCCAAAAGTTTTCTCAACCAGCAGCATACATTTTACACACATTAAAAACAAAAATAGTAGTAAAGCAGGCATTCCGAAGACTCATCTTGATAATAATCTTTCTAACTCTCAGGCTGGCTCTGCATGATGATGACAAAATCACTTTTATTTGGTACTTGAAGAGGTGACAACACATCTGCCAAAACCACTGATACTGTTCTTTCCCAGATAAGACCATAGCAACTCAAAACTTAAGTACCTATAATTGTGTTATGACATCAACTAAACTCTAAATAAGTATCTACATTTCACTGTTGTCAACAGCTGGCAAGTTGTAATATGAAATTGTACTATGCAACGGTCCACAACAGCGTATTTCCCAGATCTCCCAGATCTTCACTATCATTGCTACCCTGGGATTATTACTATCGCAACTACATTTGTAAATACTAAGTTTTTAACTTAAAATGTTCAAATGTGAGATAAGAAAAATATAAATAAAAAGCCTGAAAAGTCTCTCAGCCTGGCATAAGCAATATAAGAATAATTCAGAGATGACTTAAAACAGTTTTCAGTGAGATACAGCAATGGTTTACTTCCATTCTTCAGGAAGCTGTTTGGGAGCAGAGACCTCTCACAAATGTGGGCTTCATTAAAATTACACAATCTTAAAACAGATGTCATTAAGGGCATCCCTTGAAATTATACAACTCTATAATGTGCACTGTTACCCAAAGGCAAGCATTTTCAAAATTTAATAGAAAAATATGCTATTTGTTATGTCTCTGAATGTACACTTATTTTTTTAAAGGGGCAATTAGTTTATTGGCTTAAGTGCATCTTTCACAGGTCAAAGTATTTTAAAGGTACTAAAGAGTTTAGCCACAAAACACTGCCACCACTTTTCAAATAAGGCACAAAACCTTGAGCTGATTTTTTTGCAGTCATGCAAAAAATCCACATCAACAAAGAATGCTTCCAGTACTCCACTGTTTCTATAGCACTGATTTTTGGAAACCAGTATGTTACAAAGAAGTGGACAATGACATATATTACAAAACAAATTTTGGTTAGAAAATCTTCTATTGCAGCATAACACTTTCAACTGAAATAGGTAAAATAATGGCTTGTATGAGAAAGATTATATATATTGACTTACTTGCTTTTTATACTTCCACTGGAAATGCTTAAAGAACATACTGAGTTCAAATTTTGCTTTTTTTCTAAAATTCTGTAGCTCTTTTAGTGAATAAAAATTCTATCTCATAGCTGTAGGAAATACAACTGTCACAGGAATACACATTTTCTTCCTCCTCTATCACACCTACTGCAATAATTCCTAAGATTAAGATGATTCAACTGTTAAAAATATCATACAGAGAAAGACTATAGCACAAAAATTATATGGCATTAAAAATTTGTTCAATGCTCCAGTGGTTAAGGTAAAATTACTACTGAAATAATTATCAGAATTTTAACCTACAACTAGAAAAGAAAGAAGGGAAAAGCTGTATTTCTTCCTAAATGTAATGACTTTCACTAATATTTTGGATACAAATAAACTACTCTTTACCTAGAAGAGTTCTTCTTTATTTTTTCATCAAGATCATGAAGGATCTGTTGAAACTCCAATTCTCCAGGTAGGACATTTAACAAACAGTCTAAATTGGAAGAATCAAGAGAATATTCTCCTCCCCATTCCATTTTCAGAATCTGTAAAATAGATACAGAAAAGTGGTTAAATAATGAAAAAATCAGACTAAAAGTATCAAAATATACAACATTTTGTTCCTTGGAAATACTTAGATTAATAAGGGAAGCATTTATATAGGGAATTATAAAATCAGTGTTGAATAGTAAACTTTGTGCATGCTTCTAAGTAGTGTGCTACAGAGAGGGACACCTGTAAAATAAAAGCAGAGATAAATTTCATAATATCTTGAATTTTTGGTTTAAAAAATCAGTTCTTTTACCTTAATCAAAGTAGCAGCTTTTTCTTTTTTTTTTTAAGATTTAGAAAGAAATTTCTCACTATTATAACTGGAAACTATAAAGACATTAGCAAGTAAATTTATTTTCTGTGTGCTTATAATTTCTGTCCAAGGAGTAACAGCTTTCTGGAAATTAAGCACATCATTGCAAACAACTAGAACATAAAAATCCAGACCAAAACACTATAATGTACCAGAAAACAAATGCCATCCTGCTTTGTACACATACTTAATAAATACTTTGCCAAAACACAGGTCAAATCCACTGACCTACTCAAACTAAGACACTAAATCCCAGGAGTCTTCATATCAGTAGTAAAGCTTAGCAGAATTACTTTTTCCTGTTTTCTCTTTCTTCTGTATTCTCTTTTTTGAGAAATAATGAAGTTGATTTTACAACCAGTGGTAACTTGCTACTGAAGTTAGAGGAAAAATTACATAAAAAGCAGAAACTTCTTAATAACCAGTATATTTCATGTATACTATTTAGTATTTAATAATACTATTCATACTGCAGTAGTAACATGAGGAACAAACATAACTATTCAGATGCACACAATGTTTGAGCAAGAAAATATAATGAATTAATAAATACACTATTTTTCTTACAAGCAATATTCTTTTATGAAGCAATTACAGTGTTGGTTGGAAATTTACCTAGAGGCACTACTAGAAAAATAGATTGAGAATATTTCTAAGTGAATGGTCTACAAGACACATGCTCCAAAAGAACATCAGATTAAGATTTAAGGTCAAGATGATAGTTTCTGGTCAAATATGAGTGTAGATCTACAAGGAGCAGAACTGCGCATTCCTTCAGCAGAAATGACGCTTTTGATTCTGGTATTGCTCTTTCAAAGCAAAGTTAGAACAAACGTGAAGGTCCTTTAAAGTCTACTGTCTCGCACATCTGAATTAACAGCACAATACTACAAAATATTTCATGGATATATAATTTTCTTGAAGCTACAGAATACCCCTTTGCAAATAACAATTCAAAGGCTTTCAACATTTTGGAATGTAGCTGAAACTCAGTCACCCTTCTGGTTAAAAAGTTTGGATGTAAACCAAATACATCACGTAACACATCGAGGGAAGATTAGTCTTTGAATATAAGACTCCAAGTATCTTAACAGATGTTACTGCAATTAAAGACACTGTAATTAAAAGTACAAGTTAAAAAGCACTCTCCCAAATGCTGAAATACTTGTCAGTTGCTCTGGCAAAAAAACAGTAGGCCAACTTTGGAAGGTTCTGCAACCAATGGAAAACCATTAAACAGCACTTTACAGAACTGAGATAAAAGGAATACTGAAAATACAGTTGTTCACTCATGTATGATACTACATATATTCAGACATGGTCACAGAAATCTATTCCTTTTTCTCTTCAGAAATATCTCAGGGTTTATACAGAATGTGATGCTAACTCTATTCAATACCTATAACTCAAACCCATCTTTTATTCAACAATGCTTGCAGAACAGTCAATGATTGGTGTAAAATGTACTGTATAATAGATACATGTAATGCAAAAATAACAACAGCTTGGAATGATTCAGTTTTCATATAATAGGTGCACAATCAAAATTTTATATTTATATTTATTCCTAACTCATTTCCTTACAGGATAGCCAAAAGAAGCTTGTGTTCCTCAGAAAAATATCAGTATAGTTTACAGACCACTTACCGTTTGAAAAATTCATCATATGAAAAAAAATCACCTTGTAAACATGACAGCCTAGTTTTCATGTATGCATTCCTGTAAGACTTCTGTGTCATACTTCTTCGGTTCACTTGTCAAAACAAGGTAATTATTCCTTTCGGTCTCGGTTTAAGGGGGAAAAAGCAACATTTGATTATTTAGTTTTCAGATGTTGTTTTAGATGGTCAATAGTAACTTCTTCTTAGGAAAATCTAAGGATTTCTCTAATACAAGACTGTCATATGAAGAAGCAAAATAAAAAAATGTTTTGGAAGGAAAAAATAAGTACATAAAGATATAAATTAATACAAATCAAGCAGAAATTCTACTGTTACTTAGCATAACCAGTGTTAGGGCCCTGGGTGGACTAATAGGCTTTAACAACCTGATGACCTGGACCCTCAGTGGAAGTAGACTATCACCCCAGCGCCTGCCCCACTTGCCTCCCTTGGGGGCAGCAGGATGGGCATCAGCTGGCAGGGTCCCTCCCCTGCCATTTGGGTTATCCCCTTTCTTCCCCAGCCCCCAAAGAGCAGCCAACCATTGCTGCTCCCTGATAGCCTGTTTGACACAGCCCTCCTCTGATGGTAAAAAGCAATTTTTGTTAATAAAGAAATAAATTTCTTGAAATGTTTATTATTTGTAATAATATGGGGGAATAACTCTTGTATTGAAACTCCAAATTCTTTCAAAGTATTTTAGACAGTAATAACCCATTTCTTCTGCAAAGGAGATTCATTTAACACTTGTTATTATGCTGCAAGTATCATTCCATCATATTTCTATTTATTATTACAGTGAAATATTGTATGTTTTGATACAAATGGTCTTTGAGAACCTGCTTCAGATGCAACTCTGTGTGTCCCTATCTGCAATAAGTATAGTTCTTTTCAAACATATTAGAGGACCATTCATCATCATAAAAATGATGTAGCTGTCAATCTTTCTGGTAGCTACTCAAGAAACTTAACCTATGTACAGTGTAGGTTAAAAGCAATATTTTTCAGGTCTCTTAATTTAACTGATGGCATCAATGCAATTTAACTTCACTGTAGCAATTCCCCACTTCTAACAAGCCTAACGCTAAGAACCAATTTTTATTGAAAACAATTAGGCCTATTCAAAAAAACATTATGGAACACTTGATATAACAGATACTTCTTGCTTTTTCAATTCATTTAGTGTTTACCACCAAAGAGCACTTTTTCTTTTTTTTTTTTTTTTAGTTTTTTCTTTTTCAGTGTCAATCAAAAGGAAGCAATCTTCTTGTAAAAGTACTACATAAAATGACACTTAGTTCAAATTGGATATTTCTTCATTCTGATAATTCAGTAAACATCACTGTAAAAACCTTCCATTACAAACATACATGGAAGATTCCATGGGATTTCTAAGATTAATTTGTAATGTTTATATTTACTATAATAAGCATTTGTTCTCAGACATACAGTTTGGAAAAGTTGTGTGGACCTAAAACTTGAATAGATTTTTGTATGAGCACTTTTGTTGAATTTATGCATGTACAATATACCTCTATGTATGTATAAATCACAATATTTAACTACAGATTCATAGTCTAACATACTGTAGATATGCCGCTAACAGACATCTCCCACTTCTTCACACAAACACTATTCTTTTAAAATAAAAATTATGAGTCCTTCCTTACACTGGGTAAAAAAATACTAGGTCATGTTTATAGCATACAAATCCGTTCCAGCATTTTTAGAAACTTTGTAAAGGTTGACAGACTTATTATGTATTGGTAAATGCTCAGTACTGTTACTCCTTTATCACCCTATAGCACTTCAGCCAGTTAAGATTCTTGTTTTGACTTCAGTGGGTTTCAGTTATCACAGGACACCGTGGAAAATGTCAGGCAAATTTTGTATCATAGTTACACAGAACACCTTGTGGGGCAAAAAAAATCTAAATACAGTTTTAAACTTCAGTTCGCCTGGAGTTTCCTCTGAATCAATTGCCTAAGTCTAATGGAAAATCAGTTACGCTGTTAGGCCTTTTGAAAAAAATTTTAGTACATACATGTTCAAGAAAATCATAGCAGAACTAAAGCAGTAAGTATAAAGTTAGACATGGTTTCTCATAATGATTGATCGCACTTTGTTAAACTTCCAACTAAACTTTAAACTTTCATGGGTTTTCAAATGCCCTGTATACATTTATGCAAACTCTAAGTAAACTAAGGAGCCTTAGGCAGTATACCATTTCATACAACACAGATCCAAAGAGATCTGTCTCTGAGCACTACAGCACCTATTTGACCAAATTACACAGTAGGTTTTCAGAAAAAAGACAAACCAAACCTTTAAGGTTTCAATAAACTCCAGAAATAGGCTTTTATACACACGCTACCGTGTATGAAATAATCTAAAGAAGTTATCTAAAGCTAAACAGAATCTACTACTTAAGCACTGGCAGGTATTTAATCGAACCAAAAATTTATGGGGTGTCACATTAAGTAAACAATGTATACTTGGGTAGAAGGTCTTAATTCCCAGTATCTCTAACCTGTTAAGGCCAGAATGTGAGGCAACATATAACACATTTATTCCAGATAATTAAATGAACCCCAAATAATTTTAACATAAATGGTTCAACAAAGAGAATTAAATACCAAGTTTGTATCTAATGGCTGAAGAATAAAATAATAAAAACCTCTTTAATTTCATTATGATAATTTAGCTTCCTGATTTTTTACAGAAAAAATGTTTTGGTTGTATCCTAACTTCTGTTATTCACCACAACCAGCATACTTGTGTAAACAAATTTCTTTAGTGGATAAAAAAACAGCAGGGTGATATTGTTTTGTTCAAATCACTCATTTCTAAACCAAGATTTGTATAAACTGAATCTCATTATTTTAAAACTCCACAATTCAGCCTTTTAAAAGTCATTCAAGAGTTAAAGAACTCATGACCTGTCACTAATTTCATTCAGTTAATGCCAGTGTACTATTTTAGTTCTTGTATAATGAGACACTTATTTCCAAATACTTCA